AAGGAATTTAGCCCTTGTTTTGGCATGGTATATGCACTGTTCTGAGAGACTATTGATTTTCGCAGGACTTGCTGAGGGTAACTGATGAGTAGGTGGTTGATGGTTAGTCTTCCCATATGTGAGGTTCAAGTTCAGGCTATTTCAGGTAAGCTAGGGCAAATGCAGAGTGACCTCATCTGAGATGTGTTTAAAGCTAGTTCTCTGGACTACAGACGCATTCCTGCACACTAAGTAGGTGTGGCTGACTTGTAGCCCGGTTGTGGGGAAGGACCATTTATGCCTGTGTTCTGGTGAAATGCCTCGAAAATCTAAGATCAGAAAACATTGTTGGGACTGGGGATGACGTCTCACTTTGGGACATCATAGTAATTCTCTGTAGGGAGGAGTGCACTGGGGAGTGAAGGAGAGAAGGAAGATGTCATTTGCAAGGGTTCACTCCTGTTTCTCTTCTTTCCTTGAAACTAAAGCTGATTCCATGGTGGAAGTATCAATCTGTGGACAGTAATTTTTTTTTTTCTTTCCAAAGCAGAAAATTCAGCATCTGTTCTCAGAGTTCCACTGGGGAAGTGGTTGAGCTCAAAATGTATTAGGAGATCCAGCTGCAGTTGAGTGTTGATGGGGTCAACAGTATGCAGCAGTCCTTCAAGGAATACAGGCTGTGGTTTCCTCCTGGGATGACCTCACCGGGACCCTTGGCAACAGTGCTGGTGGAAAATGGGATAATTCAGTTAGCTGATCTTTAGATGGCAGAATCGGTAGGTGAGAGAAGATGACACCTTAAAAGTAGCACAGGGCAGAAAGGTAATTTCCTCCCTCCTAACCAGAGGTTAGCGTAGGTTAAGGACAGAGGCACCAGAGAATTAGTTTTGGCTCTCCAATTGTAGGTGGCCTCAAAGACTCCACCTGTTTTTCCCAGAATAAACAAAGAAAGGAAAGAATCAATTCTTATAAAATGTTTGCACATTAAGGAGAGCAGCTGGGGTGGGAATATTGATTTTGGAAATAGAAAGTGTACAGGGATACAGGATTTCTGATCAAGATGGCAGAATAGACAGTCCCCAGCATCACTGTCTCCCACAATCAGCCAATTTACAACTATTAAATAGCAAAGAAAGCGAAGCCGGGGCCAAGTGAGCTCAGGGGAAGAGGAGGAGAGATGTACAGAGTTCATGAAGGCAGGAAAAGCCATGAAGAGGGCCGGCCCATGGCTCACTCGGGAGAGTGTGGTGCTGATAACACCAAGGCTGTGGGTTCGGATCCCATATAGGGATGGCCGGTTCGCTCACTGGGTGAGTGTGGTGCTGACAACACCAAGCCAAGGGTTAAGATCCCCTTACCAGTCATCTTTAAAAAAAGGAAAGGCCATGATGAGAGAAAGAAAGGACTGCTCTGACCATTTGGAGGCCTGATCACTTCAAGGCTGACCCTGGTGAGCACACGGAGCAAAAACTGGCAAAAGCCACTGCTGTGCCCTTTGTATGAAGTTGCTTGGAGGCTTCAGGGGAGAAGAAGGCCCTGGTGGCCCTCAGGCCAGCTAGACCACTAACAGGGTTCCTGTAGACCCACACAGGAGCGAGGGGCCATAGACAACTGAAAAAAAGAGCCACTCAGAGGCTGGTGAGTCATTGCAAGGGACCAAAGCATGGCCCATCCCGTGGGAAGTGTTTGGAGTGTGGGAGATGGGGGAGACAGGCCCACCAGGAGAACATTGGGGTACAGCAAGGACAGCTGATCTGCCCTCCAATCAGTGTAGGACCACTCAGTGTAGACTGATCAGGAATATAGAACTGCAGGGGGTGCAGTTGCTGAAAAGAGTCAGGCCCAGACCAGAGTTTCAACACAACCCAGGTGAACTGGACCTCATAAGGCCCAGAAGTGCTTACAAGATCAACAACTAAAACCTAAGCTGCATTAAAAGCCCTCCCCAGAGAATCAGCACCAAAGCAGCACTTTATCTCAACCACAGGACTCAAGTGCTGGTCCCCACAGGAAGTTCCCCCATTTTAGAAGTAAGCAATTCCCCAGAGAATCAGCACCAAAGCAGCACTTTATCTCAACTACAGGGCTCAAGTGCTGGTCCCCACAGGAAGTTCCCCCATTTTAGAAGTAAGCAAAGGACAACAAATTAGTTCCAGTGCAGAGTTTAAGTGGTGGGAATAGTGAATAATCCAACACAGAACTGAAAGAAAAAACAAAAACCCCACAGACAAAGTTCTGATATGAACTAGTAAAGTTCTCACTTTACCAAACAAAAAAACCTAGAAGCCCTGGAAGCCCCGTGGGCTCCCAACCCTGGCTATAGGGGGCTGAGGGTCTCAGCCCCACCCTGCTGAGGTTTGTATCCAGCCAAGCCATGACTGAACCACCATCAGAAGTCCCCCAGGCTCCCAACACAGGGTAGAGGGGACGGAGGGCCTCCAGCACGCCCTACTGAGGTCTGCATTCAGCCCAGCCTTGACTGAGCTACTGCTGGAAGTGCCCCAGGCTCCTGAACCAGGGCTGTGGGGGGCTGAGGGCCTCAGCCATACCCCCTCGTCATCCACATCCAGCTCACTGATGGCCACCAGGCACCAGAAGTGCTCTGGGCTCCCGGGGTGGGGGCTGAGGACCTCTGCCACTTTCTCCCGAAATCTGTATCCAGCCCAGCCACAACCAAGCTGCCTCCGGAAGCCTCCTGGGTTCTCTGCAGGAATGAGGGGGATGCCACGGGCCTCAGCCACACTCCCCCTCCCTTCCTCCTCTTCCTCCCACCCTACCACCTCCCTTTCCCCTCTCCCCCTCCCCCCCAACTACTCTGCAACATCTTTAGGATGTAAAATAATAATAATAATAACCAAAACTGTATAGGATGGGGGTGGCCAGCAGGGGTCACTCGTGGCCTCTCCTCCACCGTAGCTCATCACATGTTATCAGGACAAGGTTGATCCCTTTGAAAGTGTAGCAGTTAAGGGCATGGGCTTTGTGGGCAGACAGACATGAATTTTGTATCTTGATTGAGTTTGCACTAGTTTTGCTCGAGTAGACATAGCCTCCTTAAACCTTAGTTTTATTGAGTGCAAAAAAATAAAACTACAGTTTTATTGTAGTGCCCAGCTTGTACAGTGGTTGCGAGGTTTGAGCTAACTAATTCATACAAAGTACCTAACACACAGCTGGATACATAGTAATGCTTGAGCAGCACT